CGGGGCGGGTCCAGGGGCGGGGCCGTTCCCGTTCCCGGGGCGGGGCGGGTCCAGGGGCGGGGCCGCTCCCGCTCCTGCTCCCGTTCCCGCTCTCGTTCCCGGCCCGGGGCGGGTCCAGGGGCGGGGCCGTTCCCGTTCCCGGCCCGGGGCGGGTCCAGGGGCGGGGCCGCTCCCGCTCTCGTTCCCGGGGCGGGGCCGCGGCGCGGTCGCGGAATGGCCGCGGGGAGCCGGGGCAGCCATGGCCGCCATCTCGCTGGAGACCGTCCCCAAGGACCTGCGGCACCTGCGCGCCTGCCTGCTCTGCTCCCTCGTCAAGGTGGCACCGGCAAGGGGACGGGGACAGGGGCTCCCGCCGGCTCTGCACCTTCCTCAAGCCCTGCAGCCCCTGCCCGGCCCTTCTCCCGGCCCCGGCACTCCCTGTCCCAGCCCCTCACGGCGGCTCGGGCCTCCCGCTCCGACCCGACCCTTCCCTTCGTGGCTCTGTTTCCTCTCGACCCCGGCCCGAGCCTTTCTGCCCTTCCCGGCCCTTTCCCCGCCGATCGGCCCTGCTTGTCCCGGCCCTCCCCTGCTGGACCTCCCGACCCCGGCCCGGCATCCCCGCTCCTGCCAGGGCCTTTCCTGCCCGGCCTCTCTCCCTGCCCTGCCTCCTGCAGCTCCTGGGCGCTTCCCCGGTCCTGGTAGGAATCCTCCTTCCCGGGGTTCCCTCCCTTTTCCCGGCCTTGTGGCCCCCCGGCTGCTCCCGGCCTCTGACACCTGTGTTCCCTTAGACCATCGACCAGTTCGAGTATGATGGTTGTGACAATTGCGAGACGTATCTGCAGATGAAGGGCAACCGTGAGATGGTCTATGACTGCACCAGCTCCTCCTTTGATGGGTGAGTGGGGCTGGGCCTGGACGCGGTCCCCCAGGAGCCTGGGGACACTGAAGTGGCACTATGGGGTCACCCAGCCAGGAGGCATCCCCTGACTGCCATCCCTCCTGCAGGATCATCACCATGATGAGCCCCGAGGACAGCTGGGTCTCCAAGTGGCAGCGGATCAGTGAGTAATTTGGGAACTGGAGATCCCGTCTCTGCAAACCCTTCTCAGGGGCAGTGGGAACTGTTGGTTGGGCTGTGGAAGGGGTTCTGCCCCCTCAGGGAGGGGACATCTGCACAGGTTGAGGATTCCCACTTGGCCGTTCCATGTGGGATAACTTGGGGTTTTATTTCCTGCAGGTACCTTCAAGCCAGGTGTCTATGCAGTGTCTGTGACTGGCCGCCTGCCCCAAGGTACCTGTGTGATGGAGTCAGGGTTTGGGGCTCTGAACACAGCACAGGGAACATGCCATGTGGGTGATGGGATCAGCAAAGGGGTGATGGGATCAGCAAAGGTGTGATAGGATCAGCAAAGGTGACTGCGGGGAGTCACCTGCTGGACTGGAGAGGGAGTTTCAGGGTTCAGCACTGCACCTGCCAGGAGTTTATACTGTAAACTGCTGACTAAAGCTTGACTATCAGAGGGATAAACTGGGATTAATGAGTGATTCTGGAAAGTGGGCACATCTCAAACCATTCAGGTCCAGGATAACATGGAGTTTTGTTTATAGAAAAGGGTTTTGCAGGATGGGGTGCTGTTGTGGCAATCCCAGTGAGCGCACCCCTCCTCCTGCACTAAGGACTTATGCCATGGTGGATTTGTGTGTTTACAAATGGAGTGGAGGATGCAGAGGATTTGCTTCATCTCTGGAATGCAGAAAGGGCATCATCCATCCAGCTGACTTCCTGCCCAGTATGTAGGCCCAGAGTAGACTCGTAACCCAGGAGTGAATCCCAAATCTCTGTTGTGAAAGCTATGCCTGTATCTGGAATCCCAGGTTTCTTATTTCTGACTGAGCCCTGCATTGGCAAGGAACTGGAAACATCATGAGGCCGGAAGCTGAGGCCTTCTGACACAGCCCAGGCACATCTGAAATACCCAGGGTTAGGGTTGAAATGGGATTATCAGGGAAAGGTTCTTCCCCCAGAGGCTCCCCAGGGGATGGTCACAGCCCTGAGGCTGGCAGAGTTCCAGGAGCGTTTGCACGCTGCTCCCAGGGATTAACAGGGTGGGATTGTTGGGGTGTCTGTGCGGGCCAGGGGCTGGATTGCCATGATTCTTGTGCATCCCTCTCTTCCAACTCAGGATATTCCATGATTCTGTGAAATGAAGATAATTGTCCAGTTCTACATGACAGAATCACCAGATGTTCCTAGGGCTCTTCATTCCAGGAGAAGACTGAAATGTGTTTGTCTTATTGCTGCAGGGATCGTCCGAGAGCTGAAGAGCCGTGGCGTGGCCTACAAGTCTCGGGACACAGCCATAAAAACCTGAAGGGCCCTTGTGCTGCCTGGAGACCCCAGTGCTGTGTGGAAGAGGCAGTGGGCACTGCTCCAAAACCTTTGAGCTTTATCCTGTAGGGAAGTGGGGCTGGACTCAGAGTGTGCTGGCTCAGCTCCCTTTGCTCAGTACCCGCAGACTCCACCACACCACAGACCACAGACATTTATCTGAGCCTTGACGGGGGGGAGGGTGTGAGTAAAGCTGGGAAAGGGTGTTTTACCATGATGCCCAACCATTTTTACAATTGGTGTGGGAAAGAGGGGATTTGGGAAATAGCTGTGGAAGTAGTTCAATAAAACCCACTGCCTGGCCAGGGCTGTCACTGTCACTGTTTTCACCACTGCAGGGTGGTGAGGTGGGGGGGGCTCACACTCACGCCACTGCCTGTGCCACACTGTGGAGCCTGCGACTGTCACTGCTTGTGCCGTGGGCCACATTCCTGCTTTGAGAGCAAGTTCCAGGATGAGCCCGTTGCTGGTTTGGTTGGGAGGCAGCATCAGGTCTTGCACATGGGTGAGGTGGACAAGGATGGGTGGAAGCACCCACCCAGCCTCCCATTCTGCAGATCTGACTGTTAAAAGTGTCAGCTTAGGGTCTGTAACACTTGAACTTGAACTCCTGAGAGATTTGGCATTCTTTTTGAATTACTTTGTTTCAGTTCAGCAGCACACATTGATGAAGAACCCTTTTCTTTTTTTCCCTGAGATAATCCTGGAGCTGGAAAGCTCAAATGTTGTTTTCTGGAGACAAGTAATGGAATACCATTAGAGCCTGAAAATTGCACTTGGTCTGGGATGAGAGCAGTCGCAGCACAGGGAATTCAGGACTGGTTGAGGAGAGTGATACTGCCAGGAGTGCAGAGGTGATGCCCTCTCTGCACTGCTCTGGTTTGTAGAGCTGGCCGTGAGAAATGAGTCCCAGGTCAGACAGAGCACAGCCTCCTGTGGAGATCTGGAGCAGAGATGTGGTGGGAGAAGCCTGGAGCACAGGGAGGCTGGAGGGGATGGTACCTCAAGCCACCTTTTGCATAGGCCCTTGCAGATGTGGTGCTGAAGTAATGAGTATTTGCTCAGTGCAGACCAGGGCCAAGTCAAGTCCTTGCTGGTTTCTGAGCTGCAGCAAACATCTCCAGGTGTAGGTCACCTTTTGTGGAAAGAGCTGAGAGCACATCGACCCCTGGTCTGGGGTTTGGACTCCTCTTGGGTAGAGGGAGCAGCAGGTTCGGTTCGGCAGTCAAAAGCGGGAGTTGACCATGGCTTTCACACATCCCCGGTGAAATCAAAGCCCTTGAGCTGACTGGTGAATCATTCTTCAGGCTTGCTGGATTGCAGGCTGGGCAGAAGATGGACCTTGGGAATTGCCAACAGGCCTGTGGGACAAGAGGTGTGACTGTCCCAGCAGCCCAGGCCCTGCCTCTGCAGGATGCTGAGGTTTAGGCATTCTGGGCATGCACCTCTGGGCCCTGGAGGGCAATTTTGGTCTAGCTGTGCTATGAGTGGCACAAGGTAACCTGGGATCCCCCCACATCCATTCATCCCCTGTGGAATGGTCTGGGAAAGCTGCAGCCAGGGCTGTCTGGGCAGCCTGACATGTTCAGGATGGAAGGGGACAAGGAGGATGAGGCGGGTGGCTCTTTCTTCAGCTGGCTGGAGATGGTTCTGGGGGGAAGGATTTGGCTCCAGCCAGGCTGGGAGGATGCTGGATGACAGATCCACCCCCCTGCCATGCCCAGCCCGGGGAGCCTCGTGCTGGCAGTGCCACGGGGTGGCAGCATGGGCTTGTGCTGGGGCTGGGGAGCTGCTGGAGACCGACTGAGGCACAAGCTCCATTTTCTGCTGTTTCACAGCACCTTGAAATCCAACTGCCTTCCCCTGGCTGCAGGGAATGGGAATGACCATGCTGGAGCTGATTCAAGGCTGGAGCCATATCAGGGTCCAGGACCCTTGTCCTCTGGCCCATAATGCAAAGGAGGGGACAAGAGGGCTCTGCACAGGACCCTGAGCAGGATGAGCTTGTTTGGCTAAGGTTGCTGTGGGGCTGAGACCTGTGGTTCTCATCTCCCTTCCTGGGAAGCTGCAGTCACCACTCAGGGCTGGGAACTTTGCTTAGGAAATTATCCGCAGGGAGCAGTGTGCACTGTGCCTCTCGGGGAAACAGAGGGTTTGGAAACCCTGCAGAGACCTCACCCCTTGCTAGAAGCTCAAGTGCTCCAGGATATGTAGAGTTAAGACTGACCAGAGCTGCGTTGCAGATGCAAAGGAGCTTCCCCAGTGAGGAAAATGAAGGTGGTGGTCCTTGAAAGCTGCACCTCCCGTGCCTGTAGCGCTTCCTAGAACTCAGTGCCTCTTACCAGGCCAGCCCTGAGCCCATTCCCTGCGAGCTCCCTCACTGCCCACACCACACAACCCTGGTGCCCCCCTGCTCCTGCAAGGCTCCCAAAAGCATCCCTCCAGTGAGACTCCAGCCCCAGAGCTGTCTGGGGTTGGTACCAGCAAAAAACAAAATGACGCGGAGATTTATTCACCGCAAAAAGCAGGGCAGGGATCTCTCACGTTGAAGAAACTGGAGGAAAAATGTGCAGCAGCAGCAGCCGGAGTGGCAGTCGGGAGAGAAAAGCATCAACGGGCTGGGAGCTGAGATATGAGTCAGGACCGCTCCTCCCCCTGCACCAAGTGACGCTCACACGTTTCAGCTGGGCCCGAAAATGCTGCAGGTTTGGCACCCGAGCAGCCTGGCAGCTCTAGGCCAGCGGGGCAGGAAACACGAGCCAGTGGATTTTCGTGCGGGTTTTGAGAACCGATACTCCGGCTCTCCCTGCAGACGAGAAAAGCGACTTTCCAAACCGCAGGGCCCTCGGCGCGTCTGCAGAGGCAGCTGCCGGGAAATGCCTGTCCCCACCTGCGCGGGGCCCTCCGGCACTGCCCGGGGACAGGGACCTGCCACAGCCGGGCCAAGGCGACCCTTGGCCTCTCACTTGGGCCACCTGGGCTTCAGGTGATGGAGACCATATGAGAGCACGTTGGACCCTGCCCAGGGCCCAGGCAGGGTGACCTCCCCGTTCTGCCCCAGGGTTGGTTCTGTGCCTGGCACATTGAGGTGTTGCCAGGGCTGGCAGCAGCATCATGGAATCATGGAGTGGTTTGGGCTGGAAGGAACTTTAAAGACCGTCTCATTCCTACCTTGCCATGGGCAGGGATACCTTCCACCATCCCAGGCTGCTCCAAACCCTGTCCTTGGACACTTCCTGGGATCTAGGGGCAGCCACAGCTTGTCTAGGCACCCTGTGCCACAGCCTCAGCACCCCCACAAGTTAGAATTCCTTCCCAATATCCCATCTAACCCAGGCCTTTGTAAATTCTCTCTTCATCTTTCCTGTAATTTCCCTTCAGGTACTGGAAGGCCATAGTTAGGTCACCCTGAAGCTTCTTTTTCCATGCTGAAAAATTCAAATTCTCTCAGCCTTTCCTGATAGGAGAGGCGTTCCTACTCTCTGAGAGTTATTCCTGCTTCACTCTAAATCCACTTTCACCTGCTTCACTGGCTTCCAGTGTGGAGTTGGACTTTCCCAAGTGCCTTTTGGCCACCCTGTGTGCCTGGGGTAACTGGTTACCTCAGGGATGTGGAAACCCTTGGAGACAAGTGGTAGGGGTAGGGGAAAAGCCCCAAACAGATCCCAGCTTAAGACTGTTTTCCTTGGAAACTGGCTGAGGAGACCTTGGCAGGTGGAGGTGATGGGGAAATGACCTCAGTTGTCCTGGTACCTGGAGTGAAATGCTGCTGGTAGTGAGGGATGGCAAAGCCTGGGGCATGCCACGAATGGATGCCCCATCCTGCCTGTCACCTCCATGTCGGGACACATGGGCAGAGGCCCCTGTGTCTGATGTGGTGGGGAGAGGAGATGCCCATGGCCAGATAGCAGCAGCAGCAGGTTTTTTGGGGGGGCCAGGTGGGGAGGGGGCAAGCTACAAGAGCTCTCAAAGCATGGCAGGAACAGGGCCCAGCTGCCACATGCCCATCCCAAGGGATCCCTGGTGCACTGGAATGGAGGCAGGTGGGCAAGGAACTGGGATGTGCTCCCTGCTCAGGGGATCTGTGAGGAAACAGGAAGCTCGGATGCCTGATGGATCCTCTGTGTGCTTTCCCCTCAGAACTGCAGTGGAAGGAGGAGGCTCTGCCTTGTGAAGGGGAGAGACTGGTGGGTTCCTGTCAGAGACCTGCAAAGGGCACCTAGAAGTAGAACATCACCCCTTGTGAGCTCAGGGCTGTCTGCAAAGATCCATAAACTGCTACATGATGGACATCTCCAAACCCACGGGTCTGCCCACAGAGTTGGGGTTCTGGAGTCTGCTGGGGGGTCCCAACCCTTCTCTAGACTGAGCTCTTTCCCCTCCCTAGTCTGTTCCATCATAAGAAGGGAGATGCAGAGGGTTGGGAGAAACGGAGTAGAGAGTCAGTTCGGTAGTGGAGGTGGCTGGGGGTGCTGAGGACACATTTCTGAGGGCACATGGCAAAGTGAGACCACAGATGAAGTCCAAGGAGGGATTTAAGAATCTGATGGTATCTCCCCATCCCCAGCTGTCCCAGACCTCTTGATGCATTCCTGGTGGCACTTGTCCTTCCCTCCTGCTGGCCAGCTGCATGTCACCCAGGCTGATGCTGGACTGGAAGGGGCTTTTCCCCTCCAAGGGAATGGGCCTTCTGTATGGGCAGTTGCAGAAGAACCACCGAGTGCCCAGAGCCCTGGGATTTCTTTTGGGAAAGGACATTGCCCCTCTGGTCCCCAGACAGCCCAGGTGTGTGGTAGAGGGCAACACATTCCAGTGGCTGCAGGATGCATCCCCTTGGCCAGGTGAGGGCTTTGGAACTGTGTAGCTGGCCTGGAAAGGTGCTGGAAAGGTGCCCTCAATGCCAGCTTCAGGGAGATGCTTCTGGGCAACCCTGAGTGCCTGTCCCCCCTCCTCCACGTCTCTCACACTCAGAGATGCTCAGCTATTCCTGCCCCTCATCTTGGAGGGGCAGCAAGGAGTCAGGGTTTGTCACCAGAGAGCTCAGCCCTGCACCTCCTGAGCCCTGTGACATCCACAGCCCAGCCTCGTGGTTCTCATCCCTCCTTTCCAGTATCCCTGCTGGGCTCTGTCCCACAGCATCCTCCATCTCAGGAAGGGGGGTGTGAAAAACGCCAATCACTTGGTTTTTAAAATTTTAAAAGTTTAATAATAATAAAATGGTTATATAAAAAAAATACAATTAGAGTAATAAAGTTTAGAGTTAGGACAATTGCAAGACAATAAAAAGCAAAGAATTTTGGACGTC